AAAAGAAAAATAAAAAAAAAAAAAAAAGTTGAAAAAAACTCACCAATTTTGAAAGGTTCCTGTAGAAAGGAAGCCGGTAAAGTCTTGCGATCCACTTTTGCCGGTCACTCGGTCATACGATCCTCGGGCGAAAGAAGCAGCGCCAACGCGCGATCGTCGGCTTATATACTCGCCGACCAAATATTCCAGGATCAACGACGATATTTCCTTGCGTCCACCAGCACAATGTAATTTCAACGTAATATTCAAAACTGAACGAAAAAAAATTATTTTTTTTGTTTTCCAAGCAAACGAGGGCTTGCACTGTCCAAACGAGGACGAACCGATCGCAAATCACACACCGAGTTCGAGTGAGATTTTTCCAACGCGATCGACGATACTGGATAACGGAAGAGAAAAAAAAAAAAATTCACCAAAATATGTATCTTGAATAAACTGTGTCACACTGTTTGTAGCGGCAAGAAGAGCTTTCAGCGCTATAGCAAGACCTGCAAGCTGCGCCGACCAAGAGCGACTAATGCAATGTGCAGTACGCAAGAAGCGCAAGTCGTACACCGTCTCAATTCAAAGAGCTCGATCGAACTGTAATCGGCGTCCACTCGTGAGGACGTCGCGCTGCAAACTGACTGTGTTCACGGACAGTACGAAGCACACACTAGTAGCGAGAGAGAGAGAGCCCGCTCACTACCCGTCTCTCTTTCTTTCTCCTGGCGCGCGCGCGCGCGCGTGTGTGTGTGTGCCGTCGGCCCCAATGTCGCCCGACCCGACTCCTCTCTCTTTCTATACCGTCGCTCCTTCCTCTTCCCTCGCGAGCGGTGTCTCGAGCGCGCGCCTCCACGCTCTCCTTCGGCTGTCTGCACCACCACCTCCTCCTCCTCCTCCTCCTCGCTCCGTTAGTCGAGCCGCGAGTGTACACAAGTGGGGAGTCGGAGCCACGTTCCGGGGGAAGTTTATGCGAGCTTTATTATCGAGGCGCCCTCCCCCTCGCTCTCTCTCTCTCGCTCCTTGTTTCGTTGCTGTGTACATTTACACGCATATGCTCATTATGCGCTTGTCTCTGCCCCACTCTCTGTGCCTTTTCGTGGCATTTTGTTGTGGCTGTTGTAATATATTATATCTTGCCTTTTTTTTTTTTTTTGCTCTTCCATATGCAGAGTCAGAAAAAAGGGGTGGAAAGAGTGACCTTTTATTTCTTGTTGCTATTTTATGCATAAAAAAAAAGCACGTATAAATATAAGTGCAAGTTCCAAGTTTTGACGACTATGGGGTGTAATTGCAGATGGGCCAAACAGGTAATTGGCCGTTTTTCTTCTCGATCGTGCGTGGGTGTTTTTGTTCGGGCGTGCCGAGATTTTTCGATCGATCGCAAAACGGCTTTGTTGTCCGGCTTCCGGCACGAATTTCACGACCATCAAAGTGACTCTACTTACGGTCGATGCGTCATATTTTAAATTTACCCGATGGTATAAACGTAGATACGCGTTTTACATTGTAGAGCAATCGGGTCAAAAAAAGACGGAGTTTTAATAAACTGGTTGGTCAGCGTTTTGTAATTGTTTGATAAGTGCATCCTTGTTTCGAGAAACGTAAAAATACGTGCACGCGGAGCGATACGAGCCAGTTGGTATCTCGTTTTCCTGGTATTCCGATTTTAGGTACGATGACCGATTGGACGACCGGCTATTATTGTATTCCGAAAACGCTGATTTCTTCCCTCGCTCGACCCACGCGTACAAATGTGATATCTAAACGTGTGCACTTTACACTATTGGACGGTACATGCTGAGTCATCGGGGAAAAATTACCCACTGACGCTGAAAAGACGGTGCTCTGATGTCGTGCAATCAAAATCGTAGATTAAAGGACGTCGTCCCCTAATGTACCCGCTCGGCTGGAAAATTCCACTCGACCCCCCGAAAGCGACTTGCTCAACGTTCCCCTCGTGTTTCATCATATACGGCGCGTATCGGTTCGTTTGCTCAAAAAAAAAAAAAACGAGTCAACAAACTCGGGTTTTCAAGTTCAAGAGCAACCAAACTCTCGAAAGAAGGAGGAGAAGCGTCCAAATGAAAAAAAAAAAAAGAGGAGGAGCGCGAGATATCGCTTCACCTGCAACGTAGTATACATTTGTATCCCGAGACGACGGCCCTCGTATATCTCTGTATCTCCGTCCCTTTGGAGGTGCGTGCAAACAACGTATACACACATACGTACGTGCTGTGTATATATCGCGTAATAAAATTAAACGAGAATAGGGGCCCCCGCGTGCCGTGTATTCTTTGTCTCCTCTCCCACTCCCGAGGGCTTCTCTCCCTCGCCGCCCCCACTCCAACGTACGTTCCGACTCCGTTTTGCCCCACTACTTTTGCCATCCTCAACTGTATACGGGTGGTAGTAAGTACCGGAGTCGTGTTACGTTATACGCGTGTGGAGGAGCGGCGAAAGCTGTTGCAGCACACACGAGAGTGTAATTAGATTGCGCCGCGCCGCGACGCTGAGCGCATCTCTTTGCTACATGATGCTGCGATGAGAGCGCCTTATCTATTTGTTTATCCATTTTTTTTCAATTTTACCTCTTGTTTTCTTTTCATTCGTTTTTAAAATTGTAGCTAAAGACATTGCTTTTTTTTCAAAAGAAAGGATTGAATTCAAATTTAATTTTTTTTTTCCTTTTCTCGTAAAACCTATTTTTAGGTCTATCGAGCCTATTTTCACGATATTTTGTTCAATAGGCTAAATAAATTCGTTAGTATGCTTCTCGCGATGGTAATTTACCACCAGAAATGGTATCCCATTGGAGATCAAAGATAACCGCGATGACGGAAAATTGCGGGAATAGGAAAAATAAAATCAGTAGTAAAACCCCATGAGTAGTCAGACGGAACCGCTTAGCGTAATCTCGATCCCATGAATTAAATATGTCCGTGCATGGATTATCATTTTTGCAATTCGTCATCGATATAGTGAGCTAAAAAAAAGCTGCTCTCACTGCCACGTACGGCCAACGCCTATTGTGTCCACTTGAGATCCGCAAGGTCAAAAGTAATCGCCCTTTCGAACATTGGACCGTCTGTATGTCTCATGCCGGTTATTCTCCCGATCGGAAACAGAAGATCCCACGCCTTAGAATTTGATGTTTCAATTAATCTAAAACACATCGCAAAAAATCAATTGCTGAATCTACAAACCAATTGTCCTTGTCTCAAAAAAACCCGAAACGTATGAAAGAAAACACGTATATACAGAAAAAATCGCGTAAAAAAGAAAAAAAAAAAAAAAAAGAAAGAAAAAGGTATAGCACACCTCAAAAAAAACTCGAGAACGGCCAGTTCGCACCTGCATTTCGTGTGCTCGTGCAAAAACACACACGCACACGATAGTCGTTCGAAAGATCGGGTTCCTCTCTCATCGGAGCATCGGGTACACACAGATACGACGTGTGGTGCATAATAATAATACACGGCGACTCCACGCGCACACGTACGAATACGTGCGAGCGAGCGCTCATTCTCCTGCCGAGAGGCTGACCTTGACATTCGCCTGCTGCTCTATTTTTATCGGGCCTCGGTTCAACGTCTCTCGGCCCTCCCCCCCCCTGGCCGCTCCCTCCCCTCGCCGCCGCCTCCTCCCTTTTTTTTTGCGGAGAGCTCCCATCCGCCCCCTCCCTCCGTCCCTCACTCGCGACGATTGGCTCGATTCGCCGAAATTGTTATTTTTTTTCTCTCTCCTCTCCCTCCCTCCCGATCCCTCTCTGCAGTTTTTATCGCTGCGCGCACACGCTCGGAATGCGATCGCTTGGCTTCTTGACGCGCATAAAATTACGATAATCGCGGTCACGAAAAAAAAAAAAAAAAAAAAAAAGAGAGAGAGAAAAACGAACCATATACGCACACACACACGAACGGGACTTCCGATTGCAGCACGGCGCCTTGGCCATTACACGTAATTTCCCCCCACAAAAAAAAGTTTATCCCGGTCAACGGCTCGGTTCGGAAGAAAGTTCGGTTGTTCTGTATACAGGTACCCTCTCGGCCCGGGAGTCGTTGACATCGTCCGTGGCAAGTATACCTGTACCCACGAGGAGCCTCGCGCTCGTAAACGAGCCCCGCTCGAAAAGGTCCTGCGGAGGAGCGTGTACACAGGTAACAGGTGTCGATGAACTGGCAAACTTTCTTTCTAACTGCTACGTAATGGGTACACGAAAGAGGGGGGGGGGGAGGCGATGATTTCTCCGCGGCCGCGCTCTTGTGTGTGTTACGAGACGATACCGCTCGCTGCACATCCGCCTTCGAATGTCAATGACGCCCCGGTCGCAATTACGCGAGCGAAACTCCGTAAGCCTTTCGGTTATGCCCCATCGTTTTCCGCGTGCTATTGTGCGCGGCGATGAATTTTTCGAGGCCACTTCCGAATCGCCCGATGTGATGACTGACTCACCCTCACCCCCTGGCTTTTATCGCGTGTGCTTTCCGGTTTCGTAATGCACAACAGCATGAGCTGTGTAGCTTGCGTTTATGCAAAATGTATACTGTTTGTTATTACCGAAAGAGAGATGGGTGTGCTCTCGAGCTTCCTATGTCGTCCTGTCATCGAAAGTACAATTTATTTATTGGGGGGGCAAAGAAGGGGGTAGTGAAAAAGAAAGTTGCGCTTGATGGGGAGTAGCGCGTCGTAACCGAGAGATCGAGGAAATGGTTTGAAGGATGCAACGCCGGCGTTTCTCCAATTTCACCCGAGTTTTACGATTCGGTCCTCCTCTTGTGGTAAACCAGTTTTTCCACCGATGTATTCTCGCGCTGTGCATTTGCTGGTCGGGAAATCGTTTTCTCATCAATTTTGTACACCAAAAACAGACTTAACGGGACCCAATGGATTTTTTTTTTTTTTTTTTCTTTGGAGTCCTGTCTGTTTATCAGAAAGCTCGGACGGCAACTGGTCGATAAATTTTCACGAGAGCAAAATGAGATGTGAACTTTGAAATAAAACCAAGAGCCTCAAATTAATCAACTCCATTAAATGTTATGAGCCTCGTGTTTACGCGTGTCACGTATACGCGCTCAAAGCGCCGCAGTAAAAATCGTGTCAGTATAAAAATAGTACATGCATATGTACCTACATGATAATATTTTAGTACAGCAGTGCCACGTAAACAGTTACATCGGGGAGTGTACAGTTATTTCGGTGTACTCGTGGATATGAAGTGTTTTTTGTTTATTCGCTTATTTTTTCACAAAAGCCTCGTCCAAGCTCGCCGGTCGAGAAAAGAGAAACCGAACGAGAGCAAAAAGCTACACGCGACACATTTTTGCGCCAATTATTTATCCAAGCGGCATTTTTCTGTCGCGTGTACATATATACACGCAGTACCGTTAGAAAGAGCTTACGCAATCCAAGACAACATTTTCTACAATCCCCTCCGTGCCTGTAATAATGCAAGCTCGAAGATACAGCTACGGGAAAGTACGAGTTACCTGCAAAAGTTGAAATATTAGGACTCACGTAGGTCCATCGCCGATTGTCTAAGCAAAAGAGGCCAGACAAGAGTTGGCCGTTTAGGTGTACCCTCTAATGTGAAAAAGAAGAGTAGATCTTCAGAAA